CTCTCTCACACACACACAGACACACACTCACACAGACACACACACACAAACAAACACACACGCACTCTAAATAAACATTGTAGTATTTGAGGAGCCTGTACATTATTGTTAATGAGAGTTTCAAAACATCACTACCAATTGACATAAATACAAATCTTAGATACTAGTTGGTTCCTAGGTATGGCGGTGTTTAAATGCTTTAACATAGTTCCATGGATTGAAAGGTTGTTTTCCATAGCAAACTAACTTGAACTGACCAGCACTTGTCTTACTTACTAAAATATTGTCTAAAATTTTGGTCACTGAGATATTAATTTGATTCTAGGCTAGCCATGTGAAAGAGGGAGGAAGTGCTGGTCTGATCCCAAGCCAGTTCCTGGAAGAGAAGAGAAAGGCATTTGTTCGCAGAGACTGGGACAATTCAGGTGAAGAGCTGAGCACAAGTAACAGGCAGGGGCTGGGCGCACCTTTCTTTGCCTCTTTTTCTGAATACACCGATCAATTGATTTGAGCTACATGGAGAATTATCTTTCCTGTGCATCTGCTTTTTCCTCTCTAAAGTAATTTTTGATCCTTTTCTGCCACCTACTGGTAGCGTATCAAAATTCAGTGACAGTTCACCCCTTCCCTCAGGAGGTAATTCTCCTACCTCCTCATAAAACATGACTGGGCAATTTAAGATCATATCTTAATGTATCTTCTAAATTATACTGGTCTTGTCATCATTCAGGACCCTTTTGTGGAACTATAAGCAACAAGAAAAAGAAGAAGATGATGTACCTCACAACCAGGAATGCAGGTGTGTTTAAAATCCCTTTGAAAGCAAAATAAATAGCTTTATCATTAGTTAACATGTTTTAAATCTCTGAACATGTAATTTGAAATGAATGCAATTTATATTAGTGCCAATTACTGAATCTGGTGTGAACACATGATAAAATGTAATATAAAAATATTAATTAAGTCCCAACTTGAATATAATTTGCAGCAGGATGAAGCTACTAGGATTTGTCCTTGTACTGATTCAGGGGGAATGTTACTGTCAAGACTTGTTGGGGGCATTTTGATACAGTAATATGTGTGGCATTTCTGAGGGGCAGAGTGACTTTATGAAGGTATTAGAGTCAGGATTAAGGAGAATTGTATGCTGCTGTAGCATTGTCAAGTGCGTTTTTGCAAACAGGGCACTGAGCCAAATAACTCATCTAGTGGGAGTCTTCTAATAGTCTTTCTCAAATTTTTTAGGTTTTGAATTTTTTGAGAGGAGGTCTTTCTATATGTTTAGGCTGGCCTAGAACTCATTAGAGTAGGCTAGCCTCAAACAATTATCCTATACTTTCATTTGGTAGCTCAGGCTGGCCTCAAACTCTAAATCCTCTGCCTTTCCCTAAATCTTTCATCTGAAAGGACAGAATAATTTTTAAAGAAAACATGAGAAGTAGTAGATATGTTTATTAGCTTCATGATAAGATCATTTTACAGTTCAACATACCAAATCATCAAGATGTATACCTTAAGAATATACAATTCCTATTTGTCATTTATGCCTTAAAAGCTGAAAAAAGTTTTTTTTAAAAAAAAATCCTCAAATCAAAGGGTTAGGGGTGTAGCCATTCCCTAGCATGTACAAAGTGCTGGGTTCAATCCCAGAACTAGAAAGGAAAATGAAATAAAAAGAAAAACCTCAGACCAATTGGATGTATTACAGATTTAAACCAAAAAACTTCAACCTCACTTGCCAAGAGAGAAATACAAGTTAAAGCTACATTGAAATTCTGTATCACCCCACACAGAATGGCGTTCATTGAGAAAAGTAATATTCCGGCCGGGATGTGGACAAAGGAGTGCTTCTGTACTACCAGTGAGACTCACACTAGTCCAGCCACTGTGAAAGTCAGCGTGCAATAGAGTAGAATTACCCACATTACACAGCTCTCTCCACTCCTGGACTTTACCTGAGGGACTCGGGTTAACACCAGAAATAGTCTACATCCTGTTACTGCACCACAGTTCAGAAGAACTAAGTTAGGAAACTAGGCTAAGTGACCATCAGCAGGAGAAGCAACAGTGGTACATCCACACTGCAGAATGAAGGAAAATAGATAACAGCTAGAGATAATCACAGTCAACAAATCAAGTCAGTCTTGGAAACACAAACGCCATTCTTTCTCCTGCTTGTGGACCCTAGATTTATTAGATCTGTACACATCATACGTACAGTTGACACTAAAGGAGAAGGGACATATCTAGGGAAGTAAGAGTAAGGGGAAGGATGAGAAAAGGAGGGGTAGCCGGGGGCAGGGGACTGTGCTCAAAGTGCATTGTGTGTCTGCATGAAAACGGCCTGATGGGATCCAGTGTATAAAGAAATTAGAAAGGAAGCTAAGTATGGAAGCTATTCTGTTCATTTGTCTTGACTTCAAAGCTACCCCTATACTAGTAATAAAGAACACAGTATAAAGAAAATCAGGAAGGAGAAATGGTGTTTTTACTCTCCAGTATTGGTTTAATTTACTGTTAAATTGTACGGAGGAATTATTAAGATAATAATGGAAAGATGAAGTGTTATTACTGCAGATAGAGTCAAGCTAGGATGATGGGTGGCCTGATACTTCAGAATCACTTTGGTTTGATTTTTCATTAACTATATATCACTAAACTTTTTTAGCAAAATTGGTAGCTTTTTCATTGACTTGGTTTATAATTTGAAGCAGTAGCCTACTGAAAATGTGCTTTTATCCAGCATTTTATGTATGAATTTTAGAATCTTGATATTTAGATGTGAGTGTGCTGTGACTAGAGAAAGCATCCTCAGCCTGTACAAGTGAAGCAGCCAAGCAGGTGTTCTCTATTCTCTCTACCTCACACACACTTTTTAATGTAAATTACATAAACTGTAATTTGGCATTAAGATAATCATTTCTATTGGAAAATTGTTGATGAGAAGCCTTTAATAAAGTACAAAATATTGATAAATACACATAAAACTCAAGGATTTTCTAGCACAGTAAATGAATGTCTGAGGGCAAATGAGTGAGGACATACATTTAAGTCAAGATATAAAATAATTTTCTGTAGCCTACTAAGTTTGTAAAACCAAGCTTGTGTCAGATGTGCACAATCAAGTGTTAGTTAGCTATCAAGACAAGAAGACCATTAGCATACAGAATACCAGGGAATGTTTCTGTGTATATAGAGTATAACTGAATATAATGTTGTCCCATTACTTTCACATTTAGAGTTTGATCGTCATGAAATTCAGATCTATGAGGAAGTAGCAAAAATGCCACCCTTCCAGCGAAAAACATTAGTGTTGATAGGAGCTCAAGGTGTGGGCAGAAGAAGCTTGAAAAATAGGTTCATAGTGCTGAATCCTGCTAGATTTGGAACAACGGTACCATGTAAGTCTTGTGTTTCCATTTGTTGGCCAGAAAGTGAGTGGGTATATGGAGAAAGGAATTATTTTTAACTAACATAAATTTCAGATAATAAGTGGTTCTGCCAGTGCGCATGGGACAGTAGACAGTACTGCTGAGAATCCAGATGGCCCCATTGCTGTCTGGGTCATGTGCCGGCTGCTGCTCAGCAGTAGTTAGTCTGTAAACTCTCCTTTCCAGAAGCTAAAGGCAAATGCATGCATTTAAGAGTTGTGGCAAGTTACATGTACTTGGATTGTCTTGTGTAACTATTATCCATCTATTTGTATTTTTTTTCATCCAGTATAGTATATTTAAAAGGAGAAAGCCTACTAGGTGGTCTGGTTTAAATTGTAGCCCTTAGCCCTCCAGAATCATAAGCCTGATCCTCTGAAAGCAAGTCCTCTACAGGAGACAATATTCATTAAACTTCCTAAGACTGTTTAATAATGCTGGGGAGAAGTAGAACCATTTAGGAGCAGACTGAGTTTGTAATCTTCATTTCCTCCTATCTTTTGTATGTTTACATTGAAAATTTAGTGATGCCAGAAATGGAGTAGGTGGAGAGTTCAGATAATCACTGATGTTATAATGCTTGCTGGACATTTGACAAGAAACGTGAGCAAATGGCCTGACAGGAATGACTTCATGGAAGAAGGATTTTTCTAGCTCCATTTTCTGAGATTTTCCTTGGCTCCTTTGGTACTAGACTCACGGTAGGGTGGAACAGCATGGTAGCAGAAACCTGTGGAAGAGGAGGCTGCTCACATCATCTTAGACAGGGAGTTACCCAGAACTAGAAACAGCCTTCCAAGGCATGCCCCAGTCATCAGCTTTCTCCTGTGGCCCAGTGCCTACAACTTCCCTAGCTTTCCATACAGCCCCTCCAGTTGGGGACAATTCATATTCCAACCATAAAATGCTTGGGGTCTCTTCACTCCTACAAAATCACATTGCCTAAAGCTATTTTTAATGTGCTATGGCTTAGAATGTCTTAGGATTTGTTTTTGCTTATATTAGTTTCATTTTAGCTTTTCTTGAGATTTATTTTTTTTATTATTTTTAATTAGGTGTGACTATGTGTCTGCACTGGGTATATGCTTGTGAGTGTAGGTGCCACAGAGAAGAGGCACAGAACACGCCCCCTTCCCCCAAGTTGAAGTTAGACAGTTGTGAGCTGCCTGCTGAAGTGCTAGGAGCTGAACCCAGATCCTTGGAAGAGCAGCAAGTGCTTTGAACTACTGAGTCATCTCTGCAGTCCCTAGTTTTCATTTTAGTTTTAAAAATATTTTATTTTGTACTCAGTAACAAGCTTCCTTTCTGTGTTTTCACATACGTGGTTTGGGTTGCCTTCCCCTTCAACTTCCCCATCTCCCTGTCCATCCTCTGCATTCATATCCATTGCCCCAGTATTCTGTTTCCATTCTCTTATCATGTGTCCTGTTACCCTTCCCATGTCCTTCTTTACATCCCTTTTCCCCCTCATGTCCCTTTTCTAGATTCATGACCTCTGCCCTCACACATTCCCACAGAAAATACACCACACACACACACACACACACACACACACACACACACACACACATACACACACACACACACAGCTAGCGTTTATCTTTCTTAGCTTGAGCTACCTCATTTAATATCTTTTCCAGTTCTATCCATTTTCTTGCAAATGTCACTTTTCTTTATAACCAAATAAAGTTCTAGTGGGGGGGGGTATACACACATTTTCATTATCCATTCATTAGTTGATGGACATCTGGGTTGATTCCATTTTCTTGTAATTTTTTAATAGAACAATAACAATGATAGCAGAGATTCCTTTGAGTACGTGTCTAGAAATGATATACCTGGGCCACACACTAGTTCTGTTTATGGTGGGGGTGGTGGCGGCGGCGGCGGCGGCGGTGGCGGCGGCGGTGGTGGATGTGTGGATACATTGTGTCTTCGTGTAGGTGTATACATGTGGAGGTCAAAAGTTGATGTTGCATATCTTCCTCCATTGCTCTCCTTTCCCTCCTTTTTGAAACACAATCTCTCACTGTACCGGGAGCTCACTGTTCTGAGTAGGCTGAAGGCCAGTGAGCTCCAAGGATCCTTCTGGTTCTACATCCCACTGCACCCCTGCCACCTCCACACCTCCCAGACAAGCCCCAGTATTTTTTTTTTTTTTTGATGTGTATGGCTCTTTTCCCTCATATATATCTGTGTACCACATGCTTGCCTGGTGCCCACAGAGGCCAGCAGAGAAGAGGTTATTGGATCCCTGGAACTGGATAGTTGTGATACAGATGGTTGTGAGCCATCATGTAGTTGCTGGGAATTGAACCCAGGTCCTCTGGAAGGGCAACCAGTGCCCTTAACCACTGAGCCATCTCTATCCCCTATGCCCAGTTTTTATGTGGGTGCTAAGGAACCAAACTTGTCGGACAAGCGCCTTACCAGCTGAACCATCTCCTTATCCCATTGAGAGTTTTCTGCAGAGCCCCCACACTGGTTTCCATGACTGCCCCCGGCTGCACACCCCCCAGCAGTGACTGGGGAGTCCTCCTTCTCTGGATCTTTACCAGCATTGGCTGTCAGTGCTCTGGATGGTGACCATTCAGACTGGGGTGAAATGGGATCTCAAAATAGTTCCAATTTACATTACTCTGATGAGACTGAGAATATTGAACACTTGTTATAATATTTGTTGGTCATTTGTATTCCTTTGAAGAATTTTCTTATCTGTCTCATTAGTACATTTACTGTTAGTTGTGGGGTTTTGGTGTGTAATTTTCACAGTTCTTCATATGTATAATCTGAAGTGTATCTGGGAAAGATTTTATCCCATTGTTCTGATAGTTTCCTTTGTTATGCAAATTTTTTAATGTTTTGTTTAAAACCATTTATAAATTCTTGGATCTATGTACTATACTGTAGGGTTTTTCTCTTCTGAACATTCTATACTGTTTCTGTATCTCAAAGTGCATTCACTGTGTTTTCCCCTAGCAGTTTCACCATTTTAAGTTTTAAGTTAAGGTCTTTGATCCACTTTGAATTTCTTTGTTTTTTCAAAATAAGAAATATAGACTGATCTAATTCCATTCTTGTGCAGGTACTCAGTTTTATAAGCATCATTTACTAATTGTGTTTTTTTCCAGTGTATGTTTTGACACCTTTATCAAAACTTGGGTGTCCATAGCTGTGTGGGCTTATTTCTGGTACTCTGGTATATTTCTCTGGCCTATTTTTATGCCTGTACTATGCTATCTTTGTAACAGTGGCCCTGTAGTATATTTAAAGTCAGGTAATTTGATTCCTCCAGCTATGTTCTTTCTGTTTAGAATTGTTTTGGCTATCCAGAGTTTTTTCTGTCTCTGAGTATGGAGTTTTCTAGTTCTGTGAAGAATGTCATTGGAATTTTTATGGGGTTGCACTGAATCTGTGGATTAGTATTTTTACAGTATTGCTTCTGCCGGTCCAGAAGCAGGTCTTCCCATTGTCTAGCACCTTCCTTGATTCTTTTTTCATTTTGGTTTTAATGGATTTTTCCCCTTTGAATTATTTCATCTTTTCGAAGTTAATATATGTCATATTAACAAAGCTGGTTCAATAATAGCAATAATAAATATGTTCTCAGAAACCAGAATTGTGTTTATATGCTTTCATTTGCACAACTATCCAAAGGTAGTAAACATTTCTTCATCTGTCTCCAGCCTTCTACCCACTTCTTTACCTCCTTTTACTGTATTTAATTATTGCTTTCCAAAGTTCTCAGTTTATTTCCCCCTTAACACCTTCATTCAGATAAAGTCCACATACGGTTCTCTTTACCAAATTTGGTTCTCAGTAACATCTTCCTTCTGTCATTCTTGAATTTAATAAATTCTTCCTAAATATTTGTCAATTTTATTCTTTTCAGAAATTTTTTAAATTTTACTACTTTTCTGTATTTTTTTCTATAATGCGTTTTATTAATTTTAGTTTAATCTTATTTCTTCTTTCCTACTTGCTCTTTGGGACAAGGAGCTCTTTTCCTAGTTATCTTAGGTAGAAAGTCAGGTTACTCACTGGAGATTTCCTTTTAACAAACACATTTATGTTACAAGATAGAATTTTGTTGTATTCTAAGTTTTTGTTTGCATTCATCTTAGTCATTTTTAATTCTAGAAATAGATGACTGTAATGAAACAGTTTTTTTCTTCACACTGATGCTAGGGACTTAAAACATAATCGGATAATAAGACAGTTGTGCAATACACATCAATTAGTCAGGTCTAAAATTGGCTTCTTACCACAGCTGCCTGCTTGCAGCCTACTTCCTTCCTACTCATTCATGAAAGCAGTCATTGGGGTGAGCTAGAAACTTATTTTTTGGTCAGAAGTCAAAGCGAAAGGAAAACAGCAGTCCATTAGTTTTGGGTGACATAGAGTGAGACACTTAACCCCTGTTCATTTTTGTTAAGAAGTCTGTCCATTGTAAGCCATCCGTAGGCTTCAGTCAGCCACCTGTGGTGTCTTTACCTCCCCACAGGGCTGACGGAGTCCTGCACAGCTATGATGGCTGAACTTGCACTCATTGAAAGCAGACAGGACAGCGTGCTGACTGCAGCCAGCACCCAGGACTCTTGCCAGCTCCTCTAAAGCAGCGCCATTTTCCTCTCAAAGTATTTGCTAACCTTGTGATTTCGTATTTGACCTGTTTTGAAGTATAGTATTTAATTTCACACATTTTTTATTTTTCCAGATTTTTCTGTTAGTGATGATAATACCATTCACTATGTCCAGAGAACATATTTGATTTTACTCCCCTTAAACTCACTGGGAGTTGTTTTATGGCCTCAGACACTTGTCTTGGAGAATGTTCCTTGTTCTTGTACACTTGGGAAAATGCATTTTCCTATTGTTGACTGGAGTGCTACATATATACAGTCTGTCTAGCTGGTCTGTAACATTGTTCAAGTCATCATTTCCTTTGACCTTCTGTTTGTTCTCTCCAT